GCCTTCTTGTCTCTTTTGCCAAGGTGGCATTTCAGGGGGTGGTGGTTCAATTTCATTTGGCCGTCCTCCCCTGTCAGGCACCCTTCCCATCAGCACCTGTGTGAAGAAACATTTTCTTTCAGTTTCTAATATTTTAAAAGTTAAAATTTACCTAAATGATTCTAGTGATATTGGAGTTACTGTTCTAATAGAGAAACAGAAGCCAAATATTTAAGGACATGAAAGTAGCAAATATGGCAGTATGAATTAATATTGAAAATATAAATGTGATGTATGAAAACTTCTTCACAATGTGGTATCATTTTTAGACAATCTGGGGAAACATTTCTGAAATTTAAGGGCTTGTTAATTTTCTCATTTAGCAGATTCTACAACAAATGCAGTACCCATCACACTAAGAAATTTTAGCAAAATATTTTCAATATACATTAACTACATACCCAACATTAATTAAATTCATCTCCATTTACACAACAAAAACTCTGGACTTTCCATTGCCACTGATTTGGTAATAGACTATCCAATAAAAGATTATATTTCTAAGCACATTTTATTTCAACGAAGTATGAAATATAAATAACATGTGGATGTAATGAAGTCAGAGATGATTATAATAACTATAATCCAAGGTATCCTCACTTCAAGGAGATACAAGGATTCTCAATGAACTATCCCTTTCTTATGAGATACTTAAGCTCACTAACTTTCAATGATGATACTAATTCTTACATTATTATAAAGAAAATAAAGACTTGATATACTTCCTTAACCATGTTTTACAATACTTTGAAGGATAAGCCAGGGAAGAGTTTGGTTTAAGTCCCCAACCTTCTGTAGAAAGGACCTACTTTATATGCCCATGAACAGAGAAAGACAGACAACAGGCCCCCCACCCACCACAGCCAAGGGGAAGCCAATAGCTTCCTGCTAGTTTCTTTCAGGAAAGAAGGTAAAACAGTAACTGCCTCAACCAAAATGACCTATGAATCAGGTTCTAATTCCACTGATCATCTAATCAAAACTACGTTTTAGTAATTTATGTCATAAATGAAAGACAAAAAGTACAACATCCTCACTGTGGGGCAAGGTTCAAAGTATATAAAAATTCGTTTAAAGTCAGCAATAATGTCCTAATTACCAAATCCAAAAAATAGCTTTCCTTGGTTGTTATTCTCATTGGTCTCTCCACCAAACATGCCATGTTGGTGGGTATATGGGAGACATTGTTCCAAGAACTGATCATAACATTGTCCTCAAGTAATCAGATTATAAATTATAAACTCAGAAAAGAGATGGGAAATTTCACCTAAAGAAGTGGGGCTCTTGATCCAGCAAAACTAGATTATAATCTGATGCAAGACATTAAGTAACATATTTCATGGCAGAACACTTTCGGGAAACACAAGGAGGTTGATCTAAAATGAAAGTAGGGAAGCATGAACAATGATGCCTAATTGAGCAATAATAAGACTAATCAACTTTATATACAATCATCCCTCTGATCAAGTATTAGGATATAAAATCAAGGATATCTTTCTTACTATACTGAGTGAGAAACAAATTTTTTTTAATTACTCAACTCCCTTCTGATTTTTTGTTCTTTTGTAGTCAAGTTTGTCAGAGGGCTCTACATGTTAGCTGAGCTGACAAACATTCTAGATTATTTTATTGTTGTTGTTGCTGTTACGATAAAAAATTCACTCTTTGAGCTTGTTAAAATCTACTGTCAGAGAAATGAATCTACGTATACTCTGAATCAGGAAACGGAACCTCCAAGAGATTCAGCAGTTCGCCCAAGGTGATTCCTCTAAGCAAATGATGGGAGCTAGGATGGGAACCCAGTTTTGTATGACTCCAAAGCATGTACTCGTCCCTTAAAACTGAGAATATAAGGAAACTGTCAGGACCTGAAATGATTTCTATAGATTTTCACTGTCTTCACTGACAAAGAATTACATTCTTGGAAAGACAAATAATTCTAAAGCTTAGAAAACAACTCTTAATGCTTCTAATTCAGATAAAACTTTGGTTTAATTTATGAATACAGAAATTCAAATAAACATGCACACACAAAACATAACTAAGCCAAGATGGACTGAAGTCCCTCCACCACTCTCTTCAAGGAGTTCACCAAGACAAAAGAAAAATGGACTAAAATCTGCAAAAACCCCAAACGGGGATATTATAAATTCATTCTCCACTGTACTGAACAAAAAAACCAACCTTATTAATGGCACATGCCGTCTTCTCCCGGCTGGAGCCACTACTTGTCCTAATGATCTTGGATAGGTCTTCACGAGCAGCAAGAAGATGTGCCAATGTAATCGTTGTCTTGGGTGACAAAGCATAACGCTTAGGCTGATAAATTCTTGCTATGTCATCTGTTTTCACCTAAATGACAAAAGTTGGGGGGGGAAAGGAACCAAAGAACATTTCAATGAAAGAGCAATAGCAATCATAAATATCTGATAACTTGTATATAGAATAAAAAAAGCAGATCAACAGATGCTAAAAGAATGCACAACTACCAGTAAGAACTCATTTAAAAAGTAACACAAAAAAGGTTCCATTCATAACAAAAGACAAACCTAAAAAAGGCTTTACCAAAAACACATATACATGACCTTTAAGAAAAAAACATTAATGAATCTTATAAACACAAAAGGAAAACTTGAATAAATGGAGAGAAATACCAAGTTTCTGGATGAGGACATTGAGTACTGCAGTTTTCCCCAACATTAACTATTAGATTTACTGCAATCCTATTGGAATGGTTTTTGAGAGGATGGGGTTGGGCGTGGGGGTGGGGGGAGGGTGGGGGGTGGCGGGAAAGAAATCTAAAGTTAATCCAGAAACTAAATATGTAAGAATGACTGAAAGAATTTTGAAAAAGAATTCTACCAGATTATTAGCAAGCAATATAAAATTACCATCGTCTTAACAGCTAACGCTCATTCAGTAGTTATTTAATGTGTCAGAATACTGTTCACTTAATAGTCATTTCTTTAATCCTCAAAACATCCTTTTAGAGTGGTTGTTTTTATTACCCCCTTTTGCAGGTGGAAAAAAAGGAGGCTTAGAAAGCTTAAACAGCTTCCCCCAAATCAGAAAGAATCCCAGCTTTGCCCACTTACTAATAAAGATGTGCCTGATTGCCAAGCACAGGTATCCAGATAACAGTATACTATCCTACCTCAGTCTAATGACATGGATCTTGGAGAGAACAAAAAAACAGACTGATAAAACAGGGGGTTGAGATTCAGAACCTCATAAATGTATGAATGCAACAAATGATAGAGGGGACATCAAAGGTCAGTGAGAAAAGGGATGGATTATTTTTTAAATGGTGCTGGAACAAACTGTTGGCTATTTGCAAAAATAATAAGGTGTAGCATATTGGAATTCCAAATATAAAAAGAGTTCATTGTTTAAGGTTTTATTTTAAACTGAAAAACTTAACTATATTATAAAGATTA